CTGGCCGCGCTTTACTCCCCAGGAAAAATTTTAATTAATTCCTGGTACTCATTTCTGTACAGGATTGTACACGTCCCAATAGGGCGCTAATGGTTTAAAGATAGTTCTCGCTATAGATATGCCTCCCATTTTAATAAAATTGATTAGTAAAATTTTGCATCATTGAACAAGAGGAATTGTGTACAACTTAAACAATGGACGAAGATTATCTAAAGGTTTCTGATAAAGGTCCATATTTCATTATTAAATTACGTTGGACATTGCATGTCGCCTTCGGCATATTTAAATTACACGAATTTTCCGATACAGCGTCTTAAATGTTTTATAATTTAAATGTACCAAAGACTGTGGACAGTGCCCAACATAATTTTACAATATAATTGTGTATTATCTATTCTTGTGGAAAAGTTTCAGCATAACTATAGTTGTTACGGGCGCACTTTAAGAACTGTTAAACAAGAAAGTGACAAGAGAAGTCTGAAGCGAGGAGTTCAGTTTCCTTGCGTACATCAAACAAAACACGTATTCCAAAAAAGAATATGTTACTGGACTTGATTTTGATCTGTGTGTAGTTCGACAGACTACACGATATCTACCGAGCTTGAGAAGATGGTTCCGGGGCTCCATAAACAACAAAGATGGTTGGTTACACAAGCGTAAGAAAAGTCTTGCGGTATCAGGGATTCAGTAGAGAAATCTGGCGAATTAGGTGAGATGAAATTTAGTTGCTTGTTGCTCAGTCGGTGTAGCCACTGGCTATGGGATGGGGACCGACAGAGTTAGATTTCCGGCAGAGGCAAGAAATGCTTTCTTCTCCACAGCTCCAAGACCGGTTCTGGGGCCCACTCAGCCTCCTATATGGTGGATATGGGGGCTGTTTTCCAGAGATAAGAAGCTGATCACTTGTGTCGAGGTTAATGTGTGGAACTCTGTCTCCACTCCCCCAGATGTCTCAGTGCGAGGCGCTTAATTAAGCACAGGGACAACTTTACATGTCGATGAAACATATAACTTCGAGTATATCCTCCTTGAAAGTTAATCTTGGGAAACGAAACTTTGGTGGAACAGTTGGTAATTTAGTTCGGTGATTTCGATAGTGGTTCCAGTGATGCATCTACTGAAGCTGATGACGCTAGTGATTAAGTTTCTGTAATTAAAGATTTGTAGTTGTGAAGATTGAGTCTGATGACCAACCATGAATCACAGACTGATGTTCTTGATACGGTATGCACGGTACGTAATTCAGCTGTTATAGCGAGAGCCAGATAAATTTGCCGCGATTTGCGCCAGAGGAATTTAAAGTGAAAGACGGGGGGCAAGGAAGTGGAAGATGCTCTTTGCGATCGTAAGAACACAGTAACATAAACAGTGTCCGCACATGCGAGTTTCTGAAAGCTAGTATCACAGTGCTTGCATAAAAGAAAAGGTAAAGCTATCCCTGGGACAGGCCGTGGAGGCCCATAGGATGGTGAGAGGTCGAGGCTCCCACATTTTCTGCACGAAAGGGTCACAGATGGCGGTGAGGCCAGCTTTACACGCCAGCCTCCCTTTAGACTGCGGGATGATTTTTGGTACTCATTTCTGTTAGAAGGTGAGTCGACCTCGGTGCCATAGTGCAGCTGGAAGGATTAGGTGAATTAAACAATCCAATTAGATCATCGGGAATCGAACCCGCGACCATCCGGCTTGTAGCTTAGTGCCTCAACCAACTACGCTACCGCATACCCTACAGTGCTTGTATAAACGTCTCTATTCGAGTAGGTAGTTTGCTGTTTTCAACCGAGGGACATTGCCATCACGTCTGCTGAATGGTTAGTCCGGATTTTGTTTCCGTATTGATAACAACATTTAAACGCATTGTATGCCGAATCCAACTTCTTCCGAGTTTCTCTAAAGTCGCATGGCTAATTGTGGGCGTTGAATGGCCCATTACGCTCCTTCATAACAGTGCCGCCACGTTAGCATAGAATAATGAGGGCTTTCCAGACATTTTTGCTGTCGGTGTAGTCATTTTGCCTGAAAGAGTCCCCAAGGAGTACCAACTCCTCATGAAGGCTGTCTTAATCACACAGAGCTGTAGCCCTGGTACCAGTATGGGAAGCATGGCATGCTTGTTGGGCGGGTGGTGATGAAGCTAGAGTTGAGATAGACTTTGGTAAAAGTTACTCTGCTTGGCACCTGCTATCACGCTGGTATCTTGTTCGGCTTATTTTTGACCCTGAAGTTGGAGGCGATATGCTCCTCCGAAACAGGTTGATTTTCAACGGACTATGCGGCGCTATATCCCAGAAGATAGTATTCTTCATAACCACCGCTGTGAGAACCTCATATCCTACATTATGTTAAGACTTGTTTTGATTTCATTTGTTTAAACTTTGCGCTTAAAGCGAGACTTCATTAATATTTTTTTATATCACATTATTCCAAATCCAAATAAAATGCGAACGGCACTGTATCTTGGAACTCGTTGGGCAGTGTTAGCGGATTATCGCATTGTCGAAGTGTAAAAATTTGGAAGAACATTTCCCAGTATTTTAATGTGTCGAATAGGAACCGGGATAGCGTAGTCGGTATAGCGACTGACTACGGGCTGGATCACGGAGGAGTCGGAGTTCGACGTCGTCCAGACCGGCTCTGGGGCCCACCCAACCTCCTATCCAAGGGGTACGGGGGGGGGTCATTCCCCGCGGGTAAAGCGGCCGGGGCGTGAAGCTGACCAGTCACATCTAACTAGTGCCGAGTTCAAGAAAATATGGATCTATACATCCATTCTCCCACACGCCTTCATGACGTAGTGCTTAATGAGTTAAGTACAGGGACAACTTTACTTTTGTTTTTTTCATGAATGATTAGCGTATTTCGAGCAGTAGACTTTTTGTTAGAGAAAGACCGGAATCGAATGCACACAGTTTTAATGAAGAAACACAAGACAGAATCGGAGCTAATTTAGAAATGTCCCAAAACATCTTTAAGGCGGTTCAATAAACAAATGTATCAAAGTTATTCGTACACCGAGCCACAAAGCTGCATCATTTACATCTATAAAGTATAAAGTTTACAGTGGCGCAAGAATTCCACGAGGCAGACAGTGTTGAGAGAGTGCAGTTTTGTGACTGGCTCTGTGGAGCCGTGTGTAGTGATGAAGTCTGTCAATTGCTGGTCTGTTTATCGGATAAGGCACGGTTTCATTTTCGTGTGCACGTAATTACCGAGAATAATACCTAGATACTGGTCATCAGAAAATCCTAGACTGATATACGACATGCCTTTACGCGGTGTAAAGATTAGCGTGTCTTGTACTATCAGTGCAACAAGGAGTTATTTTGAAGAAAGCAGTCTTCTGGGATTTGGCACCGTGTATATGTGGTGTTAACCGACGTTTCGGAGGAACGTCTCGCCTCCATCTTCAGGGTAGAAGAAACCATATAAGAAATCTGCAAGCGAAGAGACCGTGAGAAACGGTACAAGCAGACTGCTTTCTTCATAGTCACCGCCGTGAAAGCCTCAAATCTTACAAGGAGTTATTTTACTTACTTTTTTTTTTCAGCGGCAGTAAAACGTCAGACAAACCCTGATTCCATATTTGAAAGCTTAACTGATGCGAAGAAGGAATGAGTGTTCTTTCTTCAATACAATAAATAATCCAGTGACTGCCTTAGCAGCATTTTTCGTGATCGAATAATTAGGTGTCCACTCAGTCACCTCTTGCGATTATTGTGTATGGGGAAATTGGAAAGACGTGGTTTACCAGAACAATCCACACAAAGAGAACGAAGTTAAAAAAGACGTCGAACGCCCTATATACACATTTTCGCGACAGGAGCTTCAGAAAGGTTTTGAGTCACATATTTACCAGGTATCAGGCATATCTGACGGCTGAAGAGCATTCCTAGTACCTGTTATGACATGCGATGAATTGTACCACGGAGTGCACGATGTTATGTCAGTATCACCAGAAAATCGCAATCCGATTGCTTGCTGTCATGGCGTGTTCCACGATAAAGGTGATATCGTAATTAATAGAAGGATTGGGTCAATAGAACTCGGAACTTGGCCCAAGGTTGAAAATTATGTCTTCTTGGGGAGTTATAATGATTTACGGACAGTATCCTTGGCCAGTACGCCTTAATGGCATAGTGCTTAATTAGTTAAGCACAGGGACATCTTTAGCTTTTATCCTCCTTGGCCAGGGCTGTCTAAGTACAGCTGTAACTCGAAAAGGATTTTTTTTAATTATGTCACATAAGGGCGATCAGATCAAAGAGGATGATATTAACGGAGTACATAGCAAGCATGAGAGTTGAGAAATGAATACAAAAATTTAGTCGGAAATCCTGGAAACAAAAGTCCTCTTGAGAGATTAAGCCTTAAAGAAAGTGTGTGAGGATGACGGCTAGATTCGGATGGCTCAGGCGGGGCCTTGTGAACGCTGCTGTGAACTTCATGGTACCATGAAAGACTGGTAATTTGTGGAATAGTTGAGCAGCAGTTAGTTTCTCAGAGATTCATCTTATTGGAGTTGATTAAGGTTGGTTACAAGACTCCTAGACTGAAGTCAGTCTCAGATATTCTTTTCTTTTTACTCCTGCCCGGGTGATATAAATGTTCAATTCGTGCTTCTCTTCATGCATAAATTCAATGTTGAGATGACATTTCAAAAGATACAACCATTGATTTGTTATTTTTAACATAAGTGTCGTAGACAGGCTCTGAGTCTTAGAAATGCCCGAAGTCGGAGCTGATTTGAATAGTGATAAGAGCTTTAACCCCCTTCCTCTTTTCTGATATTGAAGTAAATTTATTTTGGGGCCTTATGTTGTATGAATCCCAATGACACCTGCAGAGCAAGGCCACATTGTACGAGGAAAACAACTGCACGCTGGGGTTCAGTAAGGACGAAGAGTGTTCCAGGATTGGTGACGGAGAGAAAGTATGATTTGTTTTATAAAGTGCATTAATGCTACATAGCCGATTATACAATAATTTTTGGTTGATAATAGGTCGTATGGATCGAATCCTGTTCTGCTGTTAACGCCGACGGAACTGATACGGCAACAACGTAAAGGAAGTCGTCGAACAGCTACTGCCGTGGAGAAGAGATTGTGCTGGGAGGACCTCAGTCATGGTACCAGAGCCTAGGATCCTGCTTTTCTTACTTCTCCTCGTAGCGTGGGCGGGTAAGTGGACCGCTTTGTTTTTGTCTCCGCAGTGCTCTCCTTCCACCAAACCAACCATCGGTAGTTCCGGAAAATGCACTGCGAATATTAAGGTTGTGGTGGGCACACGTTTCCTTCCTACTATTCGGTCTGACTGCTGCGACCCCTCATGGGCCTTGAATGGAACTTACAGAGCGGTGTGGAAACCAAATCCAATTTCGACTGTAGCATTTCTGAACGTGAAAAATGTACAATTTTTTTTTTTGCCTTATGACACTAAGAGCTGTGGCATCGGGATATGGGTACAACAAAAATCCCGAAGTATTTTGGGATGAGAAGTGCCGTATGATAGAGGATGGATTCATATAAGTGGGGTTTATTGAGAAATTTCTTATGAATCCGAAGGGGTCGTGGTTTGTCAGGCTGCTTTACCTCTACCGACCACGTAAATCTTTGCACAGAGAATGGCCCCTGAGTACAGAGTATGTGAAGGAGTTCAAAAGAGAATTAATATCCACTGTACATGTACATTTAAAAAGAAATGTTTGTACGCAGATTGTGTTTTATAGTTTCTCCTGATACCTGGCGAATTGATATGTTTGGTGAAAATATGTTACCTTTGTTTGATTCTATGCTGCAACGTGTTTTCTTTTTCTTTTTGACATTTCACCAGAATTTAGTTGGAATGTAGCAGGTTGGCCCTGCAACCCGGCAGAAAGAATATACTCGTCGTGAGATTTAGATCGACTCGTATCAAACATGACGTAATGTTTGCTTCCCATATATCAGTTCCACGGTCGGTACAACATAACTCTCATTGGTGATGAGTAGCGCGTCAAAAGTACGATATTCCATTAGTGCGGGACCAACCCAGGCATGCAATTTACAGTGTTACCAAATATTGTTATGTGGAGAAGAAATTTAGCACTTTTTTTTATTGCTAGTGGGGTTGGGCCAAGTCCCTTGTACTGCGTCAACTTCTTGCCTATTGTACCAGCCCCAGTTGATAGGTGAGGGTGATTGTGGAGCAATTGGTAGAATGAAGATTGGCAAGGGAAACCGAAGTACTCGGAGAAAACCTGCCCCAGCGCCACTTTGTCTACCACAAATCCCACTTGACCAGACCCGGGATCGAACCCGAGCCACCGCGGTGGGAAGCCAGCGACTAACCGCTTGAGCTGTGGCGCGGCCAAGTTTGCACTAACTTCGCCGACAAGCGGCGGTCGCTCGGTCTATATATTTCTCTTGGGGACTAAAGCCACGGAGTTTGTTGTTTATGTTTTGAAAAAAAAAAAAAGGAATCTTAACATTCCTATACTGAAAGCAATTTTAAATCTAAATCATAATGCTCAGAGTCTAAAATAAAGCCCGTCTGTGATGCAGTTGTACGGTATGAACTTTATTTTGCGTTCTTCAAAATATTCGATGTCCTTTTCATTCCCGATCGTCCCAATGCTTTATGCTAAATGTGCTATTTTCAGTCTGTTTAATTATCATGAAAACAGCAAGGCAAAGTGACAAGACAAGACTGTGGAGATCTCACTTGAGAGAAGATGATTAAATAAGATACATACTAAATTACCTGTGCGCAGTAAAAAAAAGGGTAAAAAGGTAAAGCTGTCCCTATAACAGGCCGTGAAGGCCCATAGGGTTGTGAGACGTCGAGGCTCCCACATTTTCTCTAGACAGTCGGTTCACGGATGGCGGTAAGGTTGTCAGCCGCTTTTCGCACTAGCCGCCCTTTACCCCCTAGGAAGATTCCTGGTACTCATTTCTTTTAGGGGCTGAGTCGACTTCAGGACCTTAGTGCAACTGGAAGGATTAGGTCAATTGAAAAAATCCAGTGACCTTCCGGCTTGTAGCATAGTGTCTCAACCACCTAAGCTACCGCGTGCCCCCCCCCCCTGTGCACAGTATTACAGTTAAAATATATTTTTGGCAATCTAATGGATCTAGTGTGTGACCAGAACATTTGTCTCCTAGGGCTTTAAAATAGAGTTGAACTTTTCAGTAAGACATGAAAGATGCAAGTCTGTGGAGTGTCACATAATGCACCCTTTACCCGTCCTTATGTCTGCCTTACCTCTCCCTCAGCTCAAATAACAATATTATTATTATAGACAGTAGGTGATTGATCCCCGTGAAACTAGGTATGGATATCATGCCATGATATGCATTTACTCTCAGATATTAAAATCACAGCATTTCGAACTGGAGATGCGAGCAACACTAACCCGATTCTTTACAGTGAAGTGGGAGAAGCAGTAGCGTCATTCAGTTTTGTATGGCGTTAGATATCTGAAAAGTGTGTACTAATTATTCATATTCGTATATTGAGGGCAATGAAAGGTGACAAAGTGGCGATAGCGACATCATTTGTTGAGGGGAGGGTGGCTAATGAATCATAACTTGATCTATGAAGTTTTTATTGACATATTACGACATAAACGTTATATGTGAGATCTGACAAGTAACCGGACTGATTATGTTAGAAAGAAATTGTCTTTAGTTAGTGTGAATGTTTGCAAAGTATTCGCCTTCTGACTGTGTTACAGGAGTTTCAGTATCTTGGATGGCTGAAATTTTTTTTTTTCAATTTAGGCAACGCGTTTCAGTAATGTCACATTGCTCTGAATATCTGCAGGTGATTCTGAGTGAGGCACTGCAAGATAGTTTAATGAGGGGAGCATAAGAAAAGTCACGCGAAGTAAACTCGGACGAGTTCGGTGAATGTTACAAAACTTCTAGCTATTCTTTCTGGTCAGTATCCTAAGTGTTGTGCGGGCATATTGTGAAGATGAAACGTCCACTTGTTCAACAAAGAACTTGGTCATATTCTAGAAATGTACTGTCGTAATTCTTCCAGACGTTGGTGGTACAATGTCTGGTCGACTGTTGTGGAGGAATAAATTTGCAGTGGATAATTTTTGTGGTACAAAAAGAAACACATAAGAATCGGTTTGTTAATTACATAATCTTGCGATTCTACAATTGCAGAATGCCTGTAGAGGGAATATCGAAACTGACTTTAATTTCAATAATAAATTTCTATGGAATAAAGCAGCCTTTGCAACTCACTGATATTTGTCTGCTATCCTTACTGAAGTTTATTCAGAGGAATCTGAGCTAATATTTAAGCGAAGTGCCCATGTTCTTCTTACTCCATTGCTTGTAGTGGATAACGAAAAATAAAGGAACACAGTCTAAAAAATGACAATTAAGGAAACAGAACTACATATCTCTTTTTGTTTTCTCGATAATGTCGAGGTGGTAGGATTTTGATTCTCGTCAGAGTCTCCAGCTCCAGGCATGACGACGTGTAAGGCAGTGCTGCATGTAAGTACATATTTCGATTATATAAAATCACCATTAGGACTCGTAATCGAAACAGGATATATCTTAAAATTATTTCTTTTCCTTTGCTCAGCGTGACCTCCAGAATTACCTCCTGAAGTTATCGCATAAGTCAAGGGACAGTCTATTTGCAGAGGGATGGTAATTTACAAAACGTTACTAATATTTACATTATGTGGCCGATTTTGCGTTACGTTCACTTATAAATCGCGAACGAACGAATTAATTCCCACGCCCCACTGATGTGTGGCAACCCGCAGCTTGAAGTACACTGATTTAGAGCAAGGATGCATGTATCTCAATATAGAGCTTCCAGTGTTAGGCAGGAGCAGGCAAAGCAGCTGTACGAGGAAGAAGGAAAGTTTGACACACACCAAGCCTTAAAGCATAATTGTTAAACCGAGTCATTCGAATATAGGGACAGGTGCATTTAACCATCCCAGTGTTCGTTACAGCAATGAAGTCAGCTTTGAAATTAATTTGCTGAGTGCATTAAATGTTGGTCCGCTTCTCTTAACTTTAATTCGGCAACTTCCTCGTTCATATGTGTTAATTTGCAATTTCGTGATGTGTTTTAAAGTCGTCCTTACTGCACTGTGTGCAGTATTTGTATTTTTACAGACGTGAAAGTATTGATTCAAAGCATTAATTAGCGGACCCCCAAAACTGAGTCTAGTGAGCAGTGTTCTGCTTGAGAAGCTGCTAATCATGCAGGTAGTAGGGAAGATCCCGTTTTTAACAGATTGTGAGAGTTCATACTTCCTTCACGAAAGCACTGCACAAGACCCTACCCAGCTCTAGACCTCACACCCTATTTCTTTAGCATCCATTTTAACATCTTTCATCTAAGCCAACATTTCTCTCGTGCGAATCGTTCCATCAGATTTCCAGACTATAATTCTGAAAGATTACAGGATTTCAGAAATTACTTTCAAGAACGTAATTTTAAGCTAACGAAATATTATGTGTTCTTTAGAGGCCCTTACCCGCTTTTGTCATTACGTTGGTAAATGTAAAGTTGTCCCTGTGCTTAACTCATTAAGCACTACGTCATGAAGACGTGTAAGGGAGTGGATGTATAGATTCACATTTTCTTGACCTCGGCGCTAGTTGGAGGTGAGTGGTTATCTTCACGCCCCGGCAGCTTTATCCCCGGGGAAAGAGCCACCAGTACCCATTGGATATGAGGCTGGGTGGGCTCCAGAGCCAGTCTGGACGATATGGAGAAGAGAAAATTCTGACCCTACCGGAACTCGAACTCGACCCTTCGGTCGTCCAGTCCGTACGCAGTCGCTATAGCGACTATGCTACCTCGGCTCTATTACGTTGGTAAGTCAGTAAATTTAAATCTTAAGCGATTAGGCGTAAGGGATTTTCAAGTATGACATGCTCGTTACTGCATTGTGAAATTCGTAAGTGGACTGAGACTGTTCATATGCCATGTACTTTGTCGGTGTAACATGTCATACGTCACTGTGTTTTTCCTCAGCAACCCATGGCTGTAAGTAGTAAGACGGTATGTGAACGTGTTTCCATTTCATTGTTAACAGAACATTATTATTACATTTCTCCGCAAGGAAGGCATGGAAAGGGGTTTCAATGCATGTCTTTAAGCGCAGTATGAGAAATAGTACTTGCCAAAACTGTCAGTGTTCGAGTAGTACAAA